GCTGTGCTCCCCGGAATGACCTGGAGCTGGACACAAAGCCACTGCCCGCCGCCCCAGCTTCTGCTGCCTCTGCTGTTGCTGGAGACCAGCATCTGCTGCGTCTCTGCCCGGTGGGTGGAGGCTCCCATGGTGTGCACCTCTGGGGCAGCCGACGGTGGGCGGGGGTGCGGGGTGGGCCGATGCTGTATCTTTCGGAATGGGGCTGGCCCTCTTCCGTCCACAGTTCCCGCACGGTAACTCTAAGTCTTTGGAATTTCTCAAGTGAAAGGAGTATCTTTGTTATTCATGGGGTGCGGCTCTAAGACCTCCAGGAAGGGAAGGGCTGGAGGCTGAGTTCACTCTGTGGCCTGTGATTCCATCAGTACCACCGACGAAATGAAGCTTCAGTAGGGGCCCTGGATTTCCAGAGGTTCCGTTGGCCCCTCGGCCATCACCGGTTGGTGATGCTATGACGATGGGCGCAAAGGGGAGGCCTCCTGACTCCACGGGAGAGAGGTCACAGACACTCTGTGGCCAGGACGCTCCCATATCTCACCCTGCGCGTCTCTTCCTGTGGCCGGTCCTGAATTGCGTCGTTTGTGATAAAACTAATTGTTAGTGTAGTGCCTTCCTGAGCTCTCAAGTCATTCTAGCAAATTAGCAAACAGGAAGGGATTGTGGGAACCCCTAGATTTGTAGCCAGCTGGCCAGACGCGTGGGTGGGATTCTCGTGCGGGTGCCCTCAACCCGTGAAGGGTGGTCTGAGCCCAGATAAAAGCCGTTGCAGACGTAGGTGATGGGTGTGGCTGCCAGGGCTCCCACGGTTCCCAGAGAGGTGCTTGTGGGGCTGGGCGTGGACCTGCCACTTCCCCCGATCCCTTTCCCCTGGGCCCTGGGGCCTGGTAGGGGCTGTGTCTCTCTCCAGAGCTGAGTGCACAGCAGGCCCCCAACAAATGCTGGTTGAGCTGATCTTCCATTGGTCCAATTATCTAGCACATCCCCCAAGACTTTTGCACTTGCTCTGATTCCAGAGATGATAATGCTACTCAGTTTTTTTTTTAATTTTTTATCCTGATGTTATCTTTCTCTTTCAACCCTAAAGGCATTGATTTGACTCCTTGTTTCTTCAGTAGCCATATAAATGATTCATCACTTTAGGAGCAAAGTTGTTCTTTCTGCTTTTATCCCACAGGAGGCGGGCACAGGCTCCGGGTCAGCCATGGAACCCTGGCCTCCGCGGTGGCAGACACTTTGTCTGGAAAACACTCTACTTTCAGGGGTGGCCATTGAAGATTTTCTGCCTGAAAACTCCCACTTGGCAAGGGAAGCAAATAAAAGCGTGGCTTACAGTGCAACCCTTTAAAACAGAAGCTTGCTAAACAAATGGGAAGCGTGACCAGAATTCGTAAGGAACTGTGAAATGAAGAGGATGCTGTATTTGGAAGCTGTGAAATTGCTCTAGGATTCCAAACCTCAGAGTAGCTTCCAGGCTCCCGGGAAGAATCAGATGCGTGGCCTAAATAAACAGTCCCCTGGCCAGGCAGCCAGGGCGGGGACATCAGAGTTCGCACACTGTGCGTGTGCGTGTGTGTGCACTCACGCCAGTGTGCGTGTGGGTACATGCATGCACGCAGGTGTGTACTTTTTTTAAAAATTTTTTTCAAGAGACAGGGTCTCACTCTGTTGCCCAGGCTGTAGTGTAGTGGCATGGTCCTAGCTCACTGCAGCCTCAAATTCCTCAGCTCAAGTGAGCCCTCCACCTCAGCCTCCCAAAGAGCTGGGATTACAGGCATGAGCCACCGCACCCAGCCAAGTGTGGAATCTTGATTCATGACCTTTCATAGCTGAGGGGCGAGAAAGCTCACTGCCATCCCTTCTCATTCCAAGGACACACTCTGAGAACAGTTGTAATGACTTTTTTTTCTTGAGATAGGGTCTTGCCATGTCACCCAGGCTGGAGTGCAGTGGCGCGATCACAGCTCACTGCAGCCTCGACCTCCCAGGCTCAAGTGATCCTTCCACCTCAGCCTCCTGAGTAGCTGGGACTGGAGGCGCATGTCACCACAACTGGGTAATTTAAACAATTCGTAGTTTTTGTTTGTTTTTGAGACAGAGTCTCGCTCTGTCGCCCAGGCTGGAGTACAGGGGCGAGATCTTGGCTCAGTGCACCCTCTGTCTCCCGGGTTCAAGCGATTCTCCTGCCTCAGCCTCCCGAGTATCTGGGACTACAGGCATCCCCCCACCATACCTGGCTATTTTTTTGTATTTTTAGTAGAGATGGGGTTTCACCATATTGGCCAGGCTGGTCTCAAACTCCTGATCTTGTGATCCACCCGCCTTGGCCTCCCAAAGTGCTGGGATTACAGGTGTGAGCGACTGCACCCGGCCAATAAGTTTTTTGTTTTTTTTTTTTTTTGAGACGAGGTCTCACTGTGTCGCCCAGGCTAGAATGCATTGGTGCAATCTCAGCTCACTGCAACCTCCGCCTCCCGAGTTCGAGATTCTCCTGCCTCAGCTTCCTGAGTAACTGGGACTACCAGCGTGCACCACCACGCCCAGCTAATTTTTTATATTTAGTAGAGAGGGGGTTTCACCATGTTAACCAGGCAGGTCTTGAACTCCTGACCTAGGGTGATCTGCCCACCTCGGCCTCCCAAAGTGCTGGAATTACAAGAGAGCCACCGCACCTGGCCAAAAAAATTTTTTTAGAGACAAGGAAGGTCTCATTATGTTGCCCCGGCTGGCCTCGAACTCCTGGGCTCAAGTGATCCTCCCACCTTGGCCCCCAAAGTGCTGGGATTGCAGGTGTGAACCACTGTGCCCTGCCAGTCATTAGATTTGAAGCCTACCCTAAATCCAGGATAATCTTATCTTGATGCTTAGCTAATTAGATCTGTGGTGACCCTGTTTCCAGCGTCACATTCTGAGGGTCCAGGGGGACTTGTGTGTTCTTTTGGGCTGGACTGGGACACTCTTCCCCTGCTACACAGGGTTAGAGGCGGACTGAGTGGTCCCATAGCCCCTTCCCTGAGGTCTACACCCTAGTCTGCACCCTCGAGGTCAGAGCTGCCCAGTGGAATGTTCTGTATGCTGGACACACTCCATCCCTGCCTTGTCCAGGGCAGCCCCCACTGCGCGTGACTGCTGGACACCTGAAATGTGGCAGGTGCCACTGAGGAACTGGACTTTTAAAAATGCAAATGCTCTTGTCCTGGAAGGCGTAGATGTGGGTCCTCCCACTCCTGTGTGAGGAAAGGAAGAGGGAGCAGAAAGTGCTGGGAGGAGGGGCTGCAGCCTGCTCCAGGCTTCCCATCCCCAGCCCCCACCCTGGGTGCCCCAAGGTCTCCTAGGAGATGGGCACCCTCATAGAAGCCAGGGCCTGGGCCCCTTTGCACAGCCCCCAGAACCTGTGCCGGGCCTGGAACCTTGGCCAACGAACCGTTTACTGCGTTGAGCAGAGCCCTTTGAAGGGACAACCCCAGGGGCCCTCAAAGCCACCAAGGCTGTGTGTGGCCTCTCCCTGTACATTACCCCTCCTGGGCCCGCACCACTGGGGTTGGAGCCCCTGTCTCTGTGCTCATGGCCAGAGGAGCTGCTCCCATATGCAACAGCATGTCCACAGACCGGCCCGAGGGCATTGTGGATGGGGGCAACAGTTTTCCTGCAGAGGTGGGGTTTAGTGGGAAGGGGTGTAGAGTCTGGAAGGAGGCGGCGGAGCATTCCAGGTGGAAGGAAGCTCGGGTAGGAGGATGCACTTGAAGAATTGAAGGAAGGCTGCTGGGCCAAGTCCTCAGGGGCAGAGAGGCGGCCAGTGGGGGCCTCGTGGACCAGAGTGGGGGGGTCTCCATGTTCCCCACTCCTGACGACAGCCCGGTGTGGGTTTGGGCTCCCTCCCCACTGCTTGCACGCCTTTGTGCCGCGTTTTCACCCTGGGCACGTGTTGTGCCACAGGCTGTTCTTACCTGTGTCCTTGTGTGTTTAATTGTAATGAAGCTGTGGGTGCTGGGAAGCAGGGCAGCCCATCCGTTCTCCGTGTGCCTGAGCTGTGGCCCTGGAATGAGAAAGTGCAGGGAATCCGGGGGTTGGGGGGTGACATCAGACTGCACTTGAGTCACTATCAGAGCCTTCCCGAGGGTGTCCTGCACGCAGGGGGTCCTCTCTCTTAGGGCCTTGGGCAGAGAGAGGAGGAAGGTCTGAACCATGAGGTCTCTAACCTCCTCTGGCCATTTGTGGGGTGGGGCAAGGCGGGGTCGGGGCTGGGAGGGGCGGGGCAGCTGTGTCTGCAGGCACGGAGGATGGTCTGCAGGGCCCTCTCCTTCAGGAGTCTGTTCTATCTTTTCTTTGAGACAAAGTCTTGCTCTGTCATCCAGGCTAGAGTGCAATGACGCATTCTCGGCTCAGTGCAACCTCTGCCTTCCATGTTCAAGCCATTCTCCTGCCTCAGCCTCCCAGGTAGCTGTGACTGCAGACATGTGCCACCATGCCTGGCTAATTTTTTTGTATTTTTAGTAGAGATGGGGTTTCACCATGCTAGCCAGACTGGTCTCAAACTCCTGACCTCAAATGATCTGCCCGCTCTGGCTTCCCAAAATACTGGAATTACAAACATGAGCCACTGCACCCGGCCTGTTCTGTCTTTTTATCTCACTAATTGCCTGACCCAGAGCCTGGATTCTGGGGACAGAGATAAGTAGACCCAGTCCCAGCTCTCAAGGGGTACCCCTCCCCGCAGCTATCCATGTGTGGGGGGCGCCCCTCCCTGCAGCTGTCCATGTTGGCGAGACAGATGTGTCAAGAGACACAGGGTAGCCCGGGCTATGACGGAGGGCAGGACTGAGCATCTGTACTCCTGAGAGGGCTGCTGTATCCCCGACATGAGGTCATGCCCAAGAGCCACTGTCCCCCAGGCTACGCTGGCCTCCATCGTGGCAGAAAGCTACATCCTGCCTTTGAAGTCAGATGTGTCTCGTTTTAAGTCTTTGGTGCAGCCTGCCGGCTGGCTTTGCACTGATGACTTAACCCTGCTGGGCCTCAGTTTTCTATCTATAAAGTGGGGAAATTATTTCCAGGGTATGGCTGGTCGTGAAGATGAACTTGGGCCACGTGTGTAAAGCCACAGATGGTGGACGCTCACTCAGCAGGTGTCGCCTTCTAGGAATGCTGCTGCCTGTGCCTCCCAGCTCAGGCTGGGCTGGCCAAGGAGGCTGCTTTTTGCTAAGTGCCCGAGGGTTTTCTAGGAGAAGGTGGCACAGAGGCTCACCTGTGTCTGCTCTTCCAGGGGACGACCGCTTTGGAAGACGCGTTGTCACGTTCAGCTGCTGCCGGATGCCACCCTCCCATGAGCTGGACCACCAGCGGCTGCTGGAGTAAGTGTCCTGCTCCTCTCTCTCTGTCCCTGTCTTTCCATGTTGCTTGTACCCATCCCTTCACCCCAC